TCCTTCCTGGAATCCTTCCTTCCTGAAATCCTTCCTGGAATCCTTCCTGGAATCCTTCCTTCCTGGAATCCTTCCTTCCTGAAATCCTTCCTGAAATCCTTCCTGGAATCCTTCCTGAAATCCTTCCTTCCTGAAATCCTTCCTTCCTGGAATCCTTCCTTCCTGGAATCCTTCCTGGAATCCTTCCTTCCTTCCTCCCTCCTTTTTCTTTTCCTTTTCCTTTTCCTTTTCCTTTTCCTTTTCCTTTTCCTTTTCCTTTTCCTTTTCCTTTTCCTTTCCCTTTCCCTTTCCCTTTCCCTTTCCCTTTCCTTTCATTTATTTTCCTTTCCTTTTCCCTCCTGTCATTCCCTTCAATCTGCTCCATGATGCCCCAAATGTTCCTGGGCAAGGATCCATCCTCAGGATGGGCTTCCCCATAGCAGATCCCCACCTGCAGATCCCTGTCAGAGAAAAGGGCAGAGGGGAGATGGGCACAGCTCTGGGGCGGGGTGACTCCTGTGGACAGGCAGCACATCCATCATCCTGGCTGCCATGGGTCAGGCAGAAACGCTCCCTGTCCATGCCCAGCATCACCTCCCTGCCCAGGCATGCCCCCACTCTTTGCTCACTCCCAGCCCTGAGAGGGGTGGCTGATCCAGCACTCCCATCCTCTTGCACAAGAGGAGCTGGGAGCTGCCCCCACCTCCCAGGTGACCTGGATGCAGTGACTCATCCCTAATCTGGGGCTCCATCTCTCCACAGAAGCTTCCCAAGCAAGAGGGCTGCCCCAGCAAGGGCAGGGTGCTGACACTGGCAGAAGAAACTCCCTGGAAAATGTGCAGTGTGCCCTGGAAACTGTGTGATGAAAGGCACGCCTTTGCTTCCTGCAGAAGCACTCAGAAAATGTAAAATTTAAAAAAGGAGGAAAACACAAACAGCCAGTTGGAATAATAGCCTCTTCCTACATTCAGAGTGCTGGGTGAGGCGTAAATCAGGCAGTTTTCTCACATTTCCCAGGGAATAATCCCATCAGCACTCCAGGAAGGGGAGCATCCCCTGCCAAAATCATTCCCCATTTCCATCCCTGCTGGGGCACATGAGGGAACCAGAGCACTTCTGGGAGCACACAAACCTTGTGGTGCTGGTCACCTCTAGAGAAAGAGGGGAGCTCCCTCCCCGTTGTTTGCATTTTTGGGAACAGGATATCTCCCCAAAGGGACATTGGTGATGTTTGTCTGAGCAGCCCCAGACCCACCGTGCCTCAATCCCCTCCCAAGGCAAAGTCCACACATGGATTTACCCAAGCCAGTGCAGGGCTCACCCCTCTGCTGCCTCTCCCAGCTCCAGGGCGTGCAATGGGGGATGATTTAGACCCTCATCCCACCCTTCACATCTGGATTAATTTCCTGCTGCCACCCCTCAGTGATCCCCTCCCACACTGCAGGCAGAGGTGGCTCCACCTTTCCAACAGGTCCAGAGCCCCAGGGCCGTCCCTGTGACCAGCCCTGAGGATTTGCTCCATTTGCTGTGAGCAATTTTGTGTCTCCCTCTGCTTTGCAGAGGCTGTCAGAGCTGGAGCTGGAGCCCATCCCCACCAGAGAGCTCCCAGCCCCTCTCTGCACACACATTCCCCAACACATCTCCCTTCCCACCCTTTGATTTCTGTAAACAGCTCCAGGGGAGGGATTCAGTGCTCAGATTGGGTCAGATCAATTGGGAATTTCAAGGGAAATGGCAAAGATTTTGCCCAAAATCTTTATTATTTATTTATCTTTATGTTTGCCCAAAATGCCTTTATTCCCTGTTGGAATACTCATTTTTACCTCCCTCTGCCAAGGGGGTGGTACCCAGCCAGCCCATTCACTGGGATGCAAACAAGAAGCATCCAGGGGATGGATATTTCCACCAGTTTCAGAGAGGAGATCCCAAACATGGGTCAGGGGAGTGTTTCTGCCCTGCTGGTCCTTCTCAGCATCAATACAACCTTCTTCAGCCAGCTGAAATGCCAAAGTAGAGGAGCAAACCCCAAAAACTTGAATTTCCGTGATCTCCATGCCATGGCCAGGTCACAAACCCGAGCACCTGCTGCACGATGGGGCTGAGAGCAGCCCTGGAGACCTTGCAGGACCTGCTCAGGGATGGAGCCAGGGCCACCTGGCCAGGCAGGGTCAGTCCTGCTGGGTGATCCAGCTGGGAACCCACCAGGAATGGGGGCTTGGACACCTCTGGTCCCACAGAGGGGCCTGGCAGCTCCAGGATCTTCATGCCATGCGGAATTGGACTTTTTAAATGTTCTCCAAGAAAACTCCAGGAGGTGAAGCCGACCCTCCCCAGCTCCCCTCTGTGCCCTCACAGGAGCTGGGAGCTCTGGCTTAGTGTGAAAAACGCCAATCCCTGGTTTTTAAAATTTTAAAAGTTTAATAGTAATAAAATGGTTATAAAAATAGTAATACAATTAGAGTAATAATAATTTGGATAACTTGAATTAGGACAATATGAGACAATAGAGACAAAGAGTTATGGACAGTCTGGGTACCTTTTTCTGGGCGAGTCTGAAAAAGGACCCACGTTAACAGAGGATTAACCCTTAAAACCAACAGCCTGTTGCATATTCATGCACCTCATACATGATGCATAAATTCCATTCAAACACAGGATTCTGTCTGGTCAGTGTCAGCTTCTTCCTCTGAATCCTGACAGCGCCTTCGGGGTGGGAAGAAGTTAATTTCTTCTGAAAATGGAGCAATAAATTCTCTTTCTCTGCAAGATTTAGGTGTCCTGGGGCTTCTATCTTGCTGCAAGTACTTTCTTTACAAAAAGTATCCTACATAGCATTGTTTCTATTTAAACTATTTTTATAACCTAAAACTATATTTAACACACCACTTAAGAGAATTAATACATCATTATTATTGTTACTTTCTACCACAACACATATAGTATTAATTTAATATTTGCGAAAAGCCTATCATAAAATACACATTTTTCACGCTTAGGCTGGATCGTCCAAGCACTTTGGGAGGCGGGCACTCCAAAAACCACCGGGAGCAGCGCAGCCAGGCTGGCTGCTCGCCCGCAGCCTTGGCAGGAGGAGGGAGCGGGCGGGCAGGCGGCGTCAGGGCTCATCCCGGAGCTTCCCGGAGCTTCCCGGAGCTTCCCAGCTCATCCCGGAGCATCCCAGCTCATCCCGGTTCATCCCGGTTCATCCCGGCTCATCCCGGAGCATCCCGGTTCATCCCGGCTCATCCCGGAGCATCCCGGCGCTCCCATCCCGGCACCGAGGTAGGCTGGGCGTGGGGAAGGGGTTGGGGGTGTTCCTGCTGCCCCTATTCCCGGGGGATGCTGAGCAGCCCATTCCCAGCAGGAAAAGGAGCTGCTCAGGTGCTGGGGTGTAAAAGCAGCGTTCGGTGTCCGAGCTGGCTCCCGAGGGCTGGCACACGGGACTGGCGCTGTCCCTGTGCCCTCCGGGTTGTCCCCGGGTGGTGAAGGGTTAACAGCGCAGGGCTCAGCCGTGTTTGTGCCGTGATTCACCCGGCAGCGGGGCCGGGCTGCTCCAAAGGAGCTGAACCAGCGAGGGTGGCTGGGACGGTGTTGGCAGGGGTCCGGGGATGAGGGAAGAGACGAGGATCTGACTCCGTGTTTCAGAAGGCTGATTCATTATTTTATGATATATATTACCTTAAAACTATACTAAAATAGAAGAAAAGATTCTCCTCAGAAGGCTGGCTAAGAATAGAAAAGAAAGAATGAAAACAAAGGCAGCTGTCCCAGACTCTCTCTCCCAGTCAGCTGGCTGTGATTGGCCATTAATTAGAAACAACCACACGAGACCAATCACAGATGCACCTGTTGCATTCCACAGCAGCAGATAACCAATGTTTACATTTTGTTCCTGAGGCCTGTCAGCTTCTCAGGAGGAAAATTCCTAAGGAAAGGATTTTCCATAAAAGATGTCTGTGACAGGTGGGAGCACAGGGAACATTTTGGGGATGGAGAACAGATTGAAGTGAGCTGCCCTGTGGTGTTTGCTCACCTTGCTGTCCCTCCTTGGGGACAATCGAGCTTTGCAGCAATGCCCTGGTGGCTCCAAGGCAGCTTGGCTGTGCAGGATGGAGGGTTCCTGATGAAGGAGATCCCTGAGTGTGGGATTGCAGTGCCCAGGGGCACAGGATGCTGAGTGGGACAAGGGGCAGGACACAGCTCTGTGGGGAAGGCTGATGGAGTGCATGTGTGGAGATGATTTTCTGCCAGTTTTGGGCATTTCCAGGCAGCAAGATGACTCTGTGGAATGGCTCCTACCCCTTCTACCCCGGAGCCAATGCCTGCTTCCCCTTTGACACCACCCGGGCCGTCATTGTCACCGTGTTCCTCTCCATGCTGGCCACCTTCATCATCATCCTGCCGGGCATCCCGGGCAGGAGGGTAAGTGGAGGGGCAGGGGCACTTCAGACCTCTGCTCCCTGCCTGTGCATCCCACATTCCTCCTCTTCCCAGCCTCCAGAGCAGATTTGGCAAGCAAAGCTGCCTGGGGCTATGGCCAGAGCTCTGGGATCTCTGAATGCCATGGGGTTGAGGGAGCTCCAGCCCAACATGAGCACCAAACTCCCCCAGCCCAGGTTTCTGAGGCTGCTAGAGCTTATCTTGGCTGGATTTCTCTGTGAAATTCTTTCAGCAGAGTGGAATGGCAGGGTGAGGCTCAGAGTTCTCACCCCACCTTGGCAGAGAGCTGGGTGAAAGAGGGAGGTGTGTACAGGGCATGTCCCAGCACTGCTCCCTGTGTCCCACAGACCCTGCTGGAGCCGCACCAGGGCTGGCTCTGTGCCTGCTGCTGCTGCAGGGCTGCTTGAGGGGCTCCTGTCCCCCAGGGGACACCCTACAAATGCCTGGTGGCTCCTTTTGTTACAGCTGTGGCCAGCTGTCAGCACACTGAGGTTTGGGTAAGGGTGGGAATTGCAGCTGAAGATTCTCAGAGGGAATGTTTCCAAACATCCCTTCCCAAAAAAAAGGGCTGTCGCAGCTTTCTCCAGCGGGTTCTTTAGATGATTTTCTTCCTCTGCCTGGATCTCCCTGCTGCCTCCCCCCACCCCAGCAGGGTTGCCACAGGTACCCCCTGCCACCCACCCACCCAGCACATGGGTGACTCCCCAGGGCAGGGACAGGGCTGTTTCTCACCATTTCACCTTGCTAATGATGTGCTTGGTGCTGAGGTGCCCGTGGTAACCTCTGGCTGAGCCCTGTGACTCCTCTCTCCCCTCTTACAGAGGCTCCTGTGGTTCCTGCGGCTGGTGCTGGGGCTCTTCGTGGGAGCAGTGATCCTCAGTGAGTGCTGGGGGGCCCATGGAGGCCCAGAAATGGGGGGGGAAAGGTGGGAGAGGGTGAAGGGATCACTCAAGGGCCAAGCCCAGCCCGTGGGATGAGCTCTGGGGAAGGTGGACACATGTCCTGTGTGTGGGAGGTGGCTCCAGCCATGGTGGAAGGCACCCATCCATCCGCCTGGGGTCTGAAGATCAGTGGTCACCTCCAGGGCAGTCACCAAAGGCTCAACACCACCTTCCAGGGGGATCAGGGGCTCAGGAGCAAAGCAGTGCCCAGGCAGTGCCCACACATCACCCCACAGCCACCAGGGAGAGGATCTGTGCTGGGGCTGGGGAGAAACCAGCACAAGGGGGGCTTTGAGGGTCATTCATGGGGGGATAATAAGGAGGGACACACAGGGATTCAGGAATGACATCCAGGGATACAGGAGGGACACACAGGGATACAGGAATGGCACACAGGAATACAGGAGGGACACACAGGGATACAGGAATGACACACAGGGATACAGGAATGACATCCAGGGATACAGGAGGGACACACAGGGGTACAGGAGGGACACACAGGGATACAGGAATGACACACAGGGATTCAGGAATGACACACAGGGATACAGGAGGGACACACAAGGAGACAGGAATGGCACACAGGGACACAGGAGGGACACACAGGGAGACAGGAATGACACACAGAGATATACAGGAAGGACACACAGGGATACAGGGAGGACATCCAGGAGTTCTGCCCCTTGGCGCCCACAGCCCAGCCCTGGATTTGGGGTGAGCTAGGTGATGCTCAGGCCATGGTGACCATCCTGGCAGGTGTTTCCAGCACCAGTCATCTTGCTGCCAGCTGTGACTGACCCCTGAGGTCTCCACAGATGTGCAGTTCACCAGAGACTGGGAGCGTGGCTGGGTGCAGGCCAACACCTCCTACAAGTCCTTCAGCCCCGCGCAGGTGAGCGCTGACATCGGGCTGCACATCGGCCTGGCCGGGCTCAACGTCACGCTCAGGGGTGAGTC